CGACCGGACGAATGAACGAAAAATTAAAAAAAATACAATTTACAGCTATTGCGTTTAATTCAGTTAAAAACAAGAAACGGGAGAGCGTTACGAAAGTTTCTGAATAATTTAATGTAATCTTGGTTGCAGGAGTTATTCGTTGATTCGTTGTAATACTCAGTTTAATTTTACAGTCACGTATAATTAATGATTTTTATAACGACAAAGTTAAACGTATCTTTAATCTTACTAATATTATAAATGCGAAAGTTTAGATGGATAGATGGATGGATGGATGTTTGTTAGAGTTTGTAGCCTAAACGGCTGAATGGATCTCGGTGAAATTTGGCATAGACGTAGAGGGTAGTCTGGAAGAACACATAGGCTACTTACTAACTTTTGTTTTTTTGAACTCCACGCGGACGGAGTCGCGGGCAAAAGCTAGTAGATATATAAATACTTTCTTGTAACATAGATAACTACACAATGTAATCTGCAAATATTTGAAAACAAATTCAAAGATGTTTGTGAATCAGTCGGTTACTGCAGCATGTTATTCTAGAATTGATAGAAATCCGTTACTTGGGAAGGATTGTTCAACCGTCACTCTGCTTTCTCTGCCAAAAAGTTTCATTCGTCCCACCTTTTAGTCCCACTATCACCAATAAGGTGACAGATGGATGGTTATAAAATAAGGGGTGGGACTGATGAAACTTTTCATTCTCATCTGTCTCCATGTGGGGACAGAGCGGGTGGACGGTTGGGAATAATCCCTTAGAAAAGTCCCATGCCCTAAGTCCGAAGAGTGAGTGAGTGAAGTATTGATATTAGTGAAAACCTCCAGTTAAATTCGCCAATAATGGTAATTTTTGCAAACATTTGATTTATTTTGGGTACACTTGAGTATACTTCGCTAAATTGTATTAAGAACGTCTTAAGTACTTCTTAACAATTTAAGTATTTTCGGCGCGAACTGTTGTTGAACATAAAATTTAACAACGCAATGTTACTTCGAGTTACTTAAGTCGTTAACTGAATTGTTTGATGAGCAAGCTAAGTGGTACTTGCTAATTGCGATTAAGCTATTATTTTTTATTAATTTAATTGCTTTAATTAATAATTAAAATATCTACTTAGCATGACATCTACATAATAATTTAACAGCTTTCTTTTATTGCGATATCAAATCTTCAGCTCACTATACGTCCCCACCGAAGGGCTCGGAGCCTACCCTAATAAGGGGTGACTAGGCCATAGTAAACCACGCTGGCCAAGTGCGGGTTGGTTGACTTCACACATACCTTTGAATTTCTTCGCCGATATGTGCAGGTTGCATCACGATGTTTTCCTTCACCGTAAGAACGTCGGGTAAATTATGTACATATGAAAATTCGAAAACATCGAAAATCACATTGGTACATGGCGGGATTCGAATCCAAGACCTGTTGATTACAAGTCAAGTGTTCAAACCACTGAGCTACCGACGCTCCTTAACTTAAACTTAAACATACTTAATTGCGTTTAATTTTAATCTGTAATTTTACGTGACAACAATATTTTAAACAATGCAACTTAATCTAAAAAATAACTATATGATCCCACAAGTGTAAACCACAGAAAAAACAAACAGTTTCCTCTGCAAGCCGTCCATCTGGTTTTAAAACTTTCTAACGGAACTTTAATCTTGACTAACGTAATTGCTAAAGTTGGAATACAAAACCGTGTTCGCGGAATGCGCAATTTAGTGTCAGACATTTTGTAATTGATGTAGAGGCAGTGGTACTGTTGTTTTGAACTATTGCACCCCTTGTTTTAGACCGCGAGCATTGATGTATCGATTTAGTTAAGACTCAATAACGACTATTATTGTTCAAGTTTACTTATTTATGACTCGACATCTAAATCATTTGTTAAGTGGTACTTTAAGTTTGAGGTAAATTCGTTATTCTTAGCACTAGACAGAGAACTTCTTAAGAAGCTTCCATGTGATAGAATACTATCTCACCTATGATTTCAAATGCCCTAGAACATGGAGCTCAAGTATCTAGTTTGGCGTCATTATTATCCAAGATTTTCTTTCCTATCTGATACATAGTAAAGCTATGTAATTATTGCACAATGTCATGACTACATGACAAATATTTTTTTTTTATAATAAGGGTGGACAACAACAGAGAAACTACAGGTAAGTTGCCGGCCTTTGAGGAATTGATAGGCTTGCTTCTTGTCGTACTGGTTTTAAAATACCGTCGACATATTTTATATTGACAGGTATCGCTTTTATATATTAACTAGCAGTTGTCCGCGACTTCATCCGCGTAATATTAAGATAAAAAAAAAGCCTGTAATATGCTCGTCAGCTATCCTTCAGTGAAAGTCCGGTCGAAATGGGCTTAGCTGTTTGGACATTACCAGGAACAAACGCGGCTTGTGGAGAGACAGACAAAAAAAATGCAATCAACAACGCAAATAAATTATCTTACCGAAATCTGGAAGTTTTCTTTTGATATTACAGACAATCCAATTTTCTAAAATGTATGGATAGGTTCAAGATACGTACCACATTCTGGTATTTAAATAGATTGGTCGTCGAGACAGTGTGATTGATATCTCTAGTTTATCTTTCGGACAAACTGAATGATAGGTCGGTTAAATGTTGAACAAAGGTCGATGGTAATCCAATCTATTCTTGTCTTCAAATTTATTAGTATTAGGGCCTGTCCCACCAGATTGTAAATTGTCTGATAACAATCGAACGTGTAAGTTATGTGATGGAAATATCGAATTTGTTCCTTTTTTGAAATCTGAAATCAGTGACGACATTTTTAAGCTATCTGAGACTATCAGCCAGAGGTGGTACAGGCCCTCAAAGTTCTATTTTTAAAATATAGTTGCTTTTTTGCATTATAACCCTGAAAAAAACTTCAAGTGACTTTGTTTCTTCCTGTAAATATGCAGTTGTACAAAATGCGCTCCATTTTAACTGTCACAAAATGCATAATTTGCGCACTCACGAATTGCAAATGCTTTATGCATAAAAATTCATGAAGCTTACAGCGATTTTTTTTTTATATTTACATTCCACGTCCTATTTACATTGCCAGATATTTCTTTACAGTTTTGTTATGTCTTCGTTTTTAAATTGAGCTACTGTAAATAAAATTTACATATGTAACACTGCAGTTTCACTAACCTTGATGATCTCGTTTCTCTCGCCTTTTATTTGTTCTATTCTCTTATAAAATGTTCTTAAAAGTAAGTGGTTTAAAGTTCACAATTAGGTTATTTATTTTAAATAAAATTATTTGTAGTTTTTTGTTAATTTACTAATATTTCTTTTAACCATTCCAATAAACTAGGCTTGTGCTAGGATATGGTTCACGACAATAGTCGAATGGCGGGATTCTAACCACAATATCGGTAGTCCGAATCCCAAACCTTAGGCTGTTGGCTTTTCTTTTTGCTTTATTTTCCATAAGAGTTAGGTTAGGAAACACCTACTTATTTTTAACAGTATTTCTAACTATCCCACGTCGTCAGAGACGTCAGATTCTCAACAAATCGCTTAAATGGTCTGTTACATTGTGAACACATAATTCGTATGCATTACGTGGATAGTGTACAAATATACGATGTACGTATGTCCAGATATCTCTTGAAGAGTGGATTAGTTGCGACATGAAGGACGCCTTTCCGCTGTCCGCTGACCCTAAGATTCATTTGGAATTTATCTAATTGTAGAGGAAATATGTTTATGTGAAAAATAACTAAATACTATAACTAACTATAATATATTTACATTCTTTATTCTATGAACATATTGATTTTGATTATTTAATTTTTTAAAAACAAACTCAAATTTCTGATAAGAGCGGGCACCCACCTTTGACTAATCTATCGCATAACTGTTGTGCGATTGTCGATTGTTTCATAGCCCATTTAATTGTTTAGTTGCACAACTAAATATCGAGTAGTGTGCGCACTTCCATATAAGCTCATACGAAGCAAAGCGCGACTAAACAATTGTGCGTGCGCTCCTACATTGTGACACATAATAGGAAAACATGATGCCATCCCACTCATGTTCACTGAGAGAAAAGAGATAGCATGTGTTTATACCGGTAGTAGGGATTGTTTGAACATTTTCCGCAGGTAAAGCCTATAATGAATACTGAGGACGTTTTCCCGGACGTTGACGAATCTCGACATTTATTTTGCTAAGCCGAATTACGTTCACGTACGCTTTAGACTTGTTAGATACAATAAATTACCTATTTTGGGAATTGTTAATTAAGGGAAATACCGATTAACATCGTCTAATTGTTTTTCTTCTTTTATTAATGACTATCTTTTGCTCGTGATTACAAGGAAATAAGAAATTTAGTAATAAAGATAGTCAATGTTAGTATTATGTAGTTTTCTAATGATAAAATAATATTTGAAATAATTTTGGTAATTTTTAAGTTTACTTGTTACATACAAAATCCAAGTCCTTCCTCTTTATAATATTAGTATATACGAAGCTGTTTTATTGTAGATATAATTTTACTTCTTACTAAAATTATAAATGCAAAAGTTTAGATAGATTTATAGATAATTTTTAGAGTTTGTAGCCAAAACTGCTCAACAGATATCGATGAAATTTGGATGTAGAAGATAATCTGGGAGAACACATAGGCTGCCTATTTTTGTCTTATTTTTTAATTCTACGCAGACGGAGTCGCGTGCGAGAGGTAGTATAATCTAAAAGCAATTTCAAATTTCATTAGCACATCAGTAAAGTGACAAGAAATAAACTATTGAAGAAAATAAAATAAAACACAAAAGTTAAATGTCATTTATTTATTAAATTACTACATAGTCATTTATGAAAATGGTTTTAATAACTCATGTAAACAACAAAGCAGTTTAAGTACATTATTCACATAAGCATATTAATTGAATCTTTGCTTTATGAAATTAAAAAAACGTCTGTAACAAATGTAAGTGCTATTTGAGTATTAATTTTAAAAAGTATGTTTTCATTTCGACGAATCACCAATTTTATTGTTTGTAGCTGCCCATGTAATTGTCGCATCTTGCCATCTGAAATTATAAAAATTAATTTTAGAAATAGTCTTTAGTAAATTACTATGAAATGCAAAAATTCCTAATCTACTACTTTGACATTCTACTTTTTTAAAAACCACTAATATAATAAATGCAAAAGTTTATCTGGATGTATGTTAGAGTTTGCTGCCTAACTGCTAAACTGACCTAGATGAAATTCGGCATTGATGTAGAACATATTTTGGACGAAGACACAGGCTACTTTTTTTTTAATTCGACGACGAAGACACGGGCTTAAACTAGTACATACTAATAGGAAAACATACTTGGTGTGAATGAGTTTCTCAAGTGGTGTTGTATGCAGGTCGTCTTTACGTGCAGTCGCTTGGCTCTGCACTCTGGTGTCAATGCTGAGAGGTACGTAGCAACCGCCGCAAGTGTAGAAGTGAATATCAAACCTTGAGTAAGATAAACTAAAATAGTATAGTAAGATCGCGCACACCTCTGACAAAACTGTCGCATAACTTTTTAGTCTCGCTTTGATTTAATGAGCTTATATGCGCACACTACTCCATTTTTAGTTAGTCAATTAAACAGTTAAATTGGCTGCGAAACAATTGACAATCGCTGGACAGTTGTGCGATTGTTTAGTCGAAGATGTGCTCCCGGTCTAACATAAATTAATAAATGTAGAGTCAATCTAAGATAGGAAACAGGCATGTTATAAAACTATTCACGATGTTATTTTTTACGTATTTTTAATGACTTCAGATCGAAGATATAAATACCTTTTTTCCGCTTGATAATTTTTCAATAATTCCCTATTTGTGTTGAATAAAACACCAAAATGTCCCGACGAACATGTTATCTGTAAGAAATAAAAAAACATGTCATCCACGAATCATATACTAATATTATAAATGCGAAAGTTTAGATGTATGGATGGATGGGTGTTTGTTAAGAGTTTGTAGCTTAAGCGACTGGACGGATTTCTATGAAATTTGGTATGGATGTAGACGATAGCTTGGAAGAACACGTAGGCTATTCTTTTTGTGTTTTCAATTCCACACGGACGGAGTCGCGGGCGAAAGCTAGTATTATTATAAATGTGAGATTTTAGATGGATGCATGTTACTACTACTACTACACTACTGAACGGATCTCGATGAAATTTGCCATAAACATAGAGCATAGTCCTAAAGAACACGGCCCATTTATTTATTTTAATTACTTGCGGACGTAGATGCGGGCGAAAGTCAGTATTTTAAATAAACAACTGAGTAACATGTAACTTTATGATGTTTTAATACAGACCCATATGGGAAACGCTGGAGTTTTAAGTCTCGATCCGGGATGTTGTTTAGTCAACGCGGATAAACGGTTGTCTAATCCTTCGTGCCAAAGCAAAAAGCCCACAGAACTGCGGGCGAGTACGCCGAATTGTGGTAGCGCCTAAAAGTACATATATTTTTACATTTAATTTTAAACCAAGATATAAATTAACATTTAATTGGCTTTACCAAACTTGCTAATATTATAAATGCGAAAATTTAGATGGATGGATGTTTGTTAGAGTTTGTTAAACGGCTGAACGGATCTCGATTAAATTTGGCATAGATGTAGAAGATAGTCTGAAAGAACACAGGCAAACTTTTTTGTTTCCTTTAAGTTCCATGCGGACGGAGTTGCGGGTGAAATGTAGTACCTTATAGTTTAATTTGTGTTATATACTTTTCTTACCAATCACTGCACTATAATGTTTGTAAATAATTTAGCCAGAGAGCTTAATTAAGTAGCTCTCTACTAGAAATCAGTTGAACAAAGTTGATTGTAACAAACTCACATAATTATCCTCGTCTCCTACGTAAACAACTCCATTGTGCAAGTACGGCGTTGCCCGTCCTGTTATCACCAGCATAGACACATTCAAAGATCCTTCTGGTTGTGCAGATACTAAATAATTTAGTTTACCGTCCAAGTCTTTTTTAATACTAAAAAATAAATATATCTATTCAAAATATCAAATCTAAACTATTAAGTGTATATTATATTATTATTGTTTTCTGTAAAAAGTTCGTTAATATTTGTCGTAGTTTTCTTCTAAATAATCAAACCAACTTACTTCGCACAACCCCTAGTTAACACCATAGCATATAACAACAACAACGCCCCAGCGCCACCGTCTCCTTGAAACTATAAATGCAGGATTAAATTATTTTAAACGAAAAGTCAAACTATTGTAACTTATTTATAAATACTTACTAAATACAGGTTGCGTTTGATGAATATCTGTAACTCTTCTAGACTTTCCAATTCAAATAATTGCAGCTTGAAAATTAAAATAAATAAATAAATTTTACATTTTCTAACACTATATGATCTAATTTTCACTAAGCTGGGCACACGAATTCAGTTACACTGTAGCTTTATGTCAGAAATCGCGCGGCTAATCAGTGGAAATAGGTACTAAATGTTTGCTTGTTACCTTTTCGGTGACACCGTCCTGATAGTACTTGAGGCTATTGTACACATACGTTGTGTCTGTAGGCAGTGCGACCACAGCCTTGCTTTCTGATCCGCTTTGCGAACCGCATCGCCAGATGACGTCACTGCAGATTCGCCACAAAGCCTCCTCCTGAAGTGCCTCACTAATACGTAGATAACTGGAAGTTATTTGTGTTTGAACTGTCACGGAAATGCGCTTGTTCTTCAGGAAAAATTGCCTTGTTTATTGCAATGAGACAAACTCCGTCTCTTACAAATAACTATTTAGATAGCAGTGAATGCAAACCAAGAGATGATAATAAAAAAAAACTAGCCGTGTTCCCACTCTGTCCCCACATGGGGATAGATAAGATTAAAAAGTTTCATCCGTCCCACCTTTTGCGACTCGGGGACCGTTGGAACTTATTTTATTTCATAACGGTTCCATCTGTCACCTTATTGGTGATAGTAGGACTAGAAGGTGGGATGGATGAAACTTTTTATTCTCACATGGAGATAGAGCGGGGTGACGGTTGGAAATAATCCCGTGTATCACTAACCGCCTTTTTTCGTACACATTTATAACTTGCGTTATATTGATTTTTTTTCCGCGTCTCGATCCAAAAATTCAAAAGATTGTAGCTTTTTAGGTGGTGGTGGAAGTTTCTCCGAGTGTACAAAATTGAGTGTGAAATTTCATACAATATACAACTTTGATAGTATCCTTTCATTTTACCTTTCAGGTGGTTCCGCCGACTTCTTGTCCATAGACGGTGGACGGGAATCGAATAAAATCCATTTGATAATATACGCTTGTAGACCAGTTAACAAAGACCTCGTACTGTTGCGTGGTCCCATTAGACCGTAAGCAAACGTCTGGTCAGGAGGTCTCATCAATAATGGTGACCTGATCCATTCACCACGAGGCGGGCATGCGGCAGTGCCGAATATAGTAATACGGAGTTCCTTTTGAAATTAACAATAATTAAAGATTTTAATTTTATTCCTTGTCTATTCTTAACAACGTACATTGCTACATAGCCCTTTTATGGTTGTTAGAGTCAATGGGTACTACACCTATTTAGTATTCTATACTAAATGATATAATATATTACAGATATTTATTTAGTTTTAATTCTTTAGACCCAACTTTGGTCCCTTTTAGTGGATTTGAAGGTGAAAGAGACGCGTAGGAAGGAGAAATATCCTCTTTATGTGCGTCTCCGTCTATTAAGGGTAGCCAACGCATCCGCTATTGCGAATGTCTATGGACATTACAAGAGATAAAATGACTAATGCACGGTTTCCCAGCTACGTAACAATTCGTTAGTTTTTGGTTCGATAAATTCATGAAATGCGTTTCCGAACGTAACTTGAGTTTTACTCCGTTGAAATTAGGTAAGATTTTTTTTTAACCTAATTAGATCAAAAAGGTGTGGAGTGTATCGCTGATCCTTTTTTTTTTGGACGACATTCCGAATTAGGTAAGATAGGTATAGACTAGAAGAACACATAGGCTATTAACTTGACCTTTCTTAATTCCATGCGGACGGCGTCGCGGACGAAAGGTAATAAAATAAATGGAAACTAGGTATAATTAAAATGATCGAATGACTTACAATAGCGAGTTCTTCAGTAATAATTCTGCCGCCTGTCACAATTGATTTATTAGCGTGTAAAAATTTATTCCGTAAGTAAAGTGCGCGTTCTGGAAATAAAAGAACGATTTTCTTAAAATAACTTTTCTAAAATTGTAATCCAATAAATTAGCTTAGTGTAGGCATCACCAGATTAAACGTATTAACCTCAGATTGTAATTAATGTTTTCTATAAAATTTAATTGTTACTTTTTTGTTTTCAATAAAATACTTAAATTTTTGAATAGATCTAGTAATTTCTTAAAATTCTACCTTCGTAACTTCTACCTAAGTCTGGTGACAAGAGAAGTAGTTTCTTGTCATTCTTGTCAATTGAAGATCGATCGCCTCGTTTTTGAGTAGTCATTCTTAGATGGATCTGAAATAGGTATTTATGTAAATATTGATAACTAGCTGTTGCTCTCGACTTCGCCTATGTAAAATTAAAAAATATATCCCATGTTACTCACAGATAAATTACATTTTTAACGCTGAAAGAATTTTTAAAATCGGCTTAGTAGTTCTTAAGTTATTTCAATACATACAAATATACAAATCTTTACTCTTTATAATATTAGTTTTGTTTAACTGGTGCTGTTGTTGTTAGTATGTTTAACTTAGTAAATTAACATTAATTAAATTGGTTAGATTAAATTATAAAATAAATTGTCTAAATTAGCAGAAACATCAAGATATTTCGAATGATTCTTTTACATTACAGAGACTGGAAAAAACAAGTTAATATGAATATTTTTACGTAATTTATCTTAATATTTTGTATATTAATATGCCATGCAATTTGCACATTAATTACATTTAAATTTCCGTAAGATAATTAATTAAAACTTCAGACAACCATAATATTTCATACGTACTTGAAATCCTCAAAGAGCTTTTGTTTCCTGATTTGTTTTGACAAAATATTTTAATCTCCTGTATTTTCGTTTTAATTTTATTTTAGTATTCTGACTTCTTACCACCGAAGCCTGGCAAGGAATAGCACCAAGAGTCCCAATATTATTTATACGTTAGTTTTCATAAGGGTGTTAACGGTATGCATATCATATGAGTTTAAACAATCTTGGTACTTTTTATATTTCAACTAAAAACATAATTTTTTTCGACAAAGATTTGATTACCAATTATGTATGTCTAAAGGGATTAGATTATAATTAAAAAAACTTAGTTTCTATTACAAAGTATTCTCCTAATATTTGGTTATTTGTATGGTTATTTATGTAAAAGAAATAATAAGAAAGGACTGCGTATTTTATAAACAACTGCGATTTTATTGTACGGATGCAAGTAACTACGTAGACAAAGGAAGATAAATTTAAAACTTTGTTGATTACCCTAAAGGCATGCCAGTTATCTTAAATTATTGTTTCCTAAACATTTAAAGACTCAATACATGATCAAGACTCCTTAATCCATGTATAAATCGATGCGAGTGTCGTGTAAGCGGTTAAGTCGTAAACTTCCACCTCGGAGCAATACATTTTTTCTTCTTATTGAAAAGCTTTGCCCCAAAACCATTGGCAGACACGATTCTAGAATAACTGGTATAGCTGCAGTTCGTGTGACATTTTCACATACTTACCATATTTTGTCTGTGGCTTTGTTTTTTTTTCGTAGAATAAAGCGAGAATTGTCACGTAAGTAAAAATGTATTACGTATCTCTTCTTTCACGTTGTCCGTTCTTTGTTCCTTTTTTATAATGTTACGAATTAAACTTTTTATCTGATTATCATTTTTAATTGTACTTTTCTTTTTAATTTTGGACTATATTTGTATTGTTTAAATTGATAATATACAATGACTTTTTATTTAACTGAAAACCATACAATCACGACTTCAAGTAGCAAACAATAAAATATACTCGAAGAGAAATTTCCAATTTGCTTCCGTCAAATGTACAGTCGAGTAGAAAATCGCTTGAGACAACAATGCAAGCGCGGTAGATAATTGTTATGAAATATCGAATAAAGTCTTTGTTACAGCAAACTGTGTTTGTTTTTAATTAAAATATATCGCGCTATTCAATCAAGAGTCTTACTCTCAACAACTTGTTAAGGAAGAAAAGCCATGAAATTTTGGCTATTACAATAAAAATACGATTTGATTAACTGAATAAAATAAATTTATGTTTTTGTTTAAATAATTTAATGCGTAAAATTGGCCTCATAAATAAAAGTTTATTTTAAAGTAACAATGTCGCTTCCCCTTATCTGTCTACCCTTTTTTGCTTAGATGTAACTACGTAACGGATTGTGATGCAGTTTTTTTATATACAGAGTAATTCAAAAGTTAGGTTTATGTAACAAAAATACCGTAAATTGTTTCCTAATGTGTTGTCGTAAATACTTTTGGACAACATTGGAGACGTGCGAAGCTGGGGTGAGTCGCTAATAATAAAAAATGGGTTAAAACAGTACTGTAATAAATAAAAAACTGCAAATTGGTCAACTACGACGACTGTATCAGGTATACAAAGTTTATTTCATAACACGAATATTTTAAATTCTAATAAAACGTAAGGAATCTTAATAAACTCACTGATTAAATTAAGAAGGGACGACAAAGTTTTACTTGTCTCATAAATGCCTTTGGCGAGAATAATTTTTACTTTAATAAAAGTTTACGACAGTTGTAACTTAATTTTCTCGAGCAATACGAAACCAGTAAAATGAAATTTAACGTTTAGTTACAACTAATATTCTCTGTGCTTACTTTTACGATACAGCCTGCGGGGAACATCGTTTAAACTTATTTTCTACCTGTTATTAGTATTTTATAGTAGAATTTATAAAATTATGCATGCAAGGAAGCTTGATAAACATTTTGTATTACACACATACATAGAATGGTACGTAATTTTTTATGTATAATACTGTTAAGGCTGGCCATCGCCTGCGGATATTCTAGGCTTTTTTTTATAATATAAGGTGGCATACGAGCAAACGGCCACCGAATCCACCGAAATGGAAGCGACTGCTACCCATAAACATCCGCAATTGCAGATGCCTTGCCTACTCTTAAATGTCGGAGGAGACGCACATAAAGAGGACATGTCCCCTATGCGTCTCTTCCACCGTCAAATCCACTTTTCCTTCCCATCCTTTCTCTTAAGAAAAGGGTAGAAAGGGAAAGGGACTAAAATTAGGCCTCCGGCACCACACTCATAAGATGAAACGCGGAATTGCTTCCACTTTACGCCTGTTTTCTGTGTGGTTGTGGTATTACACCTAGCTCGGTCTAAAGTGCTTTTTATAAAGATTTTACATTTTGTTTTACTCATGGAGGTAACTGCGTCCTCTTTGCAAACCCTTGGCGACGCCCATGTTTCTATGAGAAAAAATATTGCTATTGAATAAAGCTTAATTTCACCAAAAGTAGCCAAATAATATTTGACGATTGTGTAATCATTGAAAAAAATAATTAAAAACTGAAAAGCCACAACAAAGAACTTTATAAAATAATGTGTTAATTACATTTAAAATGTAATAATGTACAAATTATTTATTACACTGAGTTTACAAACAGGTCGATGGCACCCTTTCAATTTCGAGAATACTTTAAAATTTACGACCAGAAAGCGGAATTGCTTATTTATTATTAACAGTTCGTCGTTTTTACTTTATATGTTTTACTTTTTAAGCTTCGAAAAGCTCTTCTGTCCTTTAAAGCTTTCAGTAAATTCAAGTACAAGAAAATGTGTAGTTCTCTTTTAATGCTTAAAACGATTTCTAACATGAGGCGTTCGATTTTTAAGATTTGTACTTTTTTTTTTAATTTCGAATGTCAATTGTCTTCTTATCTTATGTCACAAGTTAATTTTTATCATTCTCTTGCATGCCTTAGTAGTGTAGTTAGTTCTATAGCTTTTGTTCAGAACAAATTAAGGAGTGTCTTGGCATGCAGTTTATTTAGTTTAATTGATAACATGAAAGGAGAAAATCTAAATGATACGTCACAACAGAATCGAGGTACATCGTATCTCAGGCACGATGAAGCTGCCTCGTTAATAACGTAACTCTCTCCAATCCCGCGTGTCTATAAACTGAGTGACCGCAACTATGAACCTTAAAGTCGAAGAAAACTCGAATTTACAACGCTTACGTTTAAATGTTATTATTTTCTGTTATCGATTGAATATTTCTCTATATTTAAGGGAGTGTTCGACTTGTTTTGGCTATTTTTTAATTAGTATAAGCACATTATTCTTTTCGGTACAGCTTTATATTCTCTGGCCTGTAATTCTCTTGAATTCATGAAGTGAAAGACGTTTACTATTACATAACATACATTTAAATATCTTATTGCCTTTAACTCTCAACTTTGTTATCTGATCGAGAAAAAGTCGAAAGTAATTTAAACTTGCAACCGTGATTGAATTTAATTTCGAGTATCCGTAGTTGTGGTTTAGTGAATCGATTCATTCAAACGGCTTCACTTAATACTTTATACAGTGTAGATGGGGAATTATGCGAGCGCCTTGAGGGTACTTTCCCAAAGGTTCGACTATTTACAAGAGCCTATACATACATCGTTCATATTAAGTTAGTACTAAATTTATTTGCCCAGGACCGGTGTTGCGGATAAGCAAATATTTTAACAGGATGTTCTTCAGTACTTACATATTTATTGTTGTTTGAATCTCTTTAATTTGATATAAATTTTAAATCACAATCTTTCACAGTTTCTTATTTATTTTGACTTAAATCTATACTAATACTATAAAGAGGGAAGATTTGTACTTTTGTATGTATTGAAATAACTCAAAAAATCGTGAACCAATTTTAAAAATTCATTTACCGTTAGAAAGATAATTAATCTATGAGTAACATAGGCTATATATTTTAATTTTACGCGGGCGAAGTCGCAAGCAACAGCTGGTATTAGATAAAATGTATTCTGTATTAAAGGATAGCAACATATTAATTGGATTTTTAAAAGCTTCCAAGTTAATCAATTAAAATAAAAAATAGATGAGAATCCAATATTTACATGTTCATTGTTTTATTGAAAAAAATTCCTTTTCGTTTTACACTTCTGAAAAACAGAGTTTATTGTACTCTTCCACGTATTTAATAGCTTGGATGATTGTTCAATTTATTTCAAACGCGTTACTGACGTTCACACGTGGACTACAAATTAAACAGGACTCGTATCACTGCGCACAAATTGAATATAAATCCTTCGGGCGTGCTTAACTGCACCCGATCCTATAAAGTGACCACTGGAAACCTTGCGGTGCTTATATTGGATTTACATTTACAAACCAGAAGGTTTACTGTTACAGAACATTCTAGACTATAGAGTGTATTTTAAATAAAACTAGCAGTTGCCATGCGGCTTCATCCGCA